CATGTTTTTATTATAAAACTATCCCATGTCAGTAAATAAATTGTGTTTTTCTGCTGTGCATATATTTACAGAAGGTTCTGTTAAATGGATTGCTTCACAGTTTTCCAACAGTCACAGTTTGCTCTTTGTCCTTTTCTGACTCCCCAGACCTGCCTCTACCTCTCCAGCACCAGATGCCCTCGGGCTTTCCCTTCTTTCTCTATCACCTGACTACAACACCTGTTCTCAGTCCTAATCAGCCCCGTAGTTACCTGTGCCTACTCCAGTCACTTCTCTTTCCCATGGTTGGGTCACCCTGTTTGTTACGTTCCTGGTTGGTCACTGGCTTGCTGGCTTTCTATTATCTTGACTTATAACCACCTGTCTACCTGTTGCCTGTTTGTTGCCAGCGAGCCTTTATCTACATGTCTGGCAGAGGCTCATTAGTGCCATCAGACTCCACAACACAAAACCACCCACAATCTCCCACCTTTGCTGATAACTCCATTTTGATTTGGACATAATGTGTGTATTTTATGTTTTTCATCCTGATTCTACTTATTTTAACTGCACTACATTCCCCAGTGCTGCCGTGCCAATTTGAATTTCCCCATATGGGAACATCTTATCTTTTCTTATGTAACTGAAGATTATCTACCTGTTCTGTTTGCATTTGGGTCCAACCCAGTTGCCTCAGCAAACCCAACTCTTGGCAATTACCTCATCAAAATTGCTGCAGCTTCTCAGTGAGATTAAACACGGGTCCAAAGTGTGATTGTTGAAACACCATGAATCAGGAAGCTCACAGTTGAGTCGGCTTCAGCATTTTCCACAGACAGTTTAAGAGCACACTTCCTATCAGACAAACTGAATTAATCTCCTCATATTGATAATATTTTATGTAAAAATGCAGACTGTGTGTTCACGTACCTCTTTCCAGTTCTCTCCAAGACTGCTGGCTGTCAATGTTCACTTTGGACTTTTGGTAAGAAATTCCACAACAGTGCATCTATCTTTCACTTTCTGTCTTTCTTTACAAGGATACTGGTTTGGCAACTGGGAATTCCTGTCACTGCACTAAATTTAAACCTGCATCCTGTTTCCTCTAAATGTTGCCGGTGTGACTTTGAGTCGTGCTGACTTTGCACTCGCCTCCTCCATATGTTTTTGATTCTTACTAGATTTGTCTCTCTGTAGACAGTTTGCATCTTGTGGTACTTTTGCAACTCTTTGTGCCAGTGTGTGTCTTTTTGTGTTGGTCACATACACATTCATACACAGAACAATGTCTGGTGAAATTTGTTCTCTGCATTCCAAATAATAGGTAATAAACTATTAGAACAACAACACCACAACTTCAAAGGCTTTGTTAAAATCATTTTAGACTCCACAGAGAGCAAGATATAAAAGCAAATTGTAATTTATACAGAAAACGTGGACGACATTAAAATGGACACCAAAACAAGCTGAACGCTGCAACGCCATGCAGTCCAACATTTTTTTCTGGAGGGACAATCCAGGCATAATATTCTGGTTTTTGACAAGATACAGGAGTAACAAGGAGAGACCTGGGCCGAAATGGAGGAGACAGTAAAGAAAGTGCTGGCGGAAAAGTTACAACTGCAGCGGGAGGTTTGAAGCAGAGAGCCCACCCCACGGGCAAACCTGGAGGAGAACGAGGCCAACAGTGGTGAAAAGAGCCTGAAAGGATCCAAAATATTCAAAACAAGGATTTCACTGATGTTGTCAGAATAAAAAGGAAGAAACTGATGCTGGATCTGACAGCAGCGAAAGAAAGGGCGTATTTTGCCTGTCAATGTCATGAAAAACAGATCATCTGTCCCCAGTCCAGAACATCAAAACATGTCATCTCCAACTTGAATTGGTAACTTCATTGTGACACTAATCACAAATGAAACAATTACTGGAGCAAGTCAGTTACTGCAAAGGATTTTTCATCACAATAAATAATAAATCTGGAGCTGGACACCTTCCAATACACCGAACATCACTCACAGGAAAAGGAAAAATGATGCTGATCCTGAAAACAACTTCTTCCTCAACAGCAACTGTTGAACAGTTTAATAGCTCAATCAAGACTGAAAACCATTAATTAATTAAAACAGCAGAAGCTTGTATGCCAATTTACAAAAACAAGTCATGTCATGTTCGTCTGTGAGGACTTTGAGCATCAATTTGTTTAATCCGAATAAGCACAAAATGACTTTATCAATACAGTGTACAGTCTCGGCCTTTATCGAGTTGGATTACTTCCTGTTGTGCAAAATGAATCAATAAAATATGATCATGGTGTTGTCAGAGGAAAAAACCCCTAGACTGGGTCAGAGGATTCATGGGCCTCCACTCTCACACTCAATTCTCTTGGATGTAACTTAATTATAATACTTAACTTAAGTCTTAGATGAACAGTAGTCTTTCACTTGTAATGGTATCTTTCAATGAGACAATGACTCCAGTGAATTCAAATCAACTCAAGTTTAGTGATAATTTTAAACAAGTGAAAATAAAAATACACGTGTATCTGAGCTGGTCCCAGGGAGCAAACTCATCTAGCTCTGCATTACAGTGATTGATATGTCCTGTTTCGCTCCTCCTCTTGTGGGTCTTAGGGTCAGACCCACCTCCACCTTCATCTCCACACATGTGCAATATTAATAAAATAATAGTGTATACAACTCTACACCACTTCTAAAGAAATATGAACACCTCCTAAAGAAATACACTGAAATGCGGCATCAGAAATAAATATCATCATAATATTAGCAGAACTGTTTGTGCATGAAACCGTCACACAGTTGGTCAACATTAACACATCACATGCTGACCTTCAGAGTTGCAGCCTCCTCACAAGGGCCCCTGTGTGTTCTTCTTCCCTTATCTGTTCGTCCTTACCCGGGCCTTCTATGTTTATAAATCTTAGTTCACTCCTATGGAGTTTGACTCCAGGTGTTATCAACTTTATGTGAAAATTCAATAAGGCCTCATTGTCTCTCGTTTTGGATGTCTAATTAATTTTGAATCATGGTCGTCGGCCTAACTTCCCCTCCGGCCTTGCTGGCTGTGTGTGTGTGTGTTTGTGTGTGTGTGTTGAAGTCTGTGTCTGCCTACAAAATATGAAGGTGGCATCATGAGAGTGTAATAGGGCTGAGTGAGTGAACTGTACCTCAAAGGTCAGTGTATCTTTCAAAAAAGACTTTAAACATTATTCTCATAAACATGCTAATCATATCCTAATCAGGCTAGGCATATATCTTTAAAATAAAAATATTCAACAGTGTCATTTGAGTTATTACGCTAAATGATGTAACTCATATCAAAGCCGAAGCTCAGGAATGATCAGCCTCACATCTGACTAAATGGAAATGGTGATAAATTATGAACAAAGTGTTTCTTGATGACAGACTCTGCCGCTCTCTGACTTTAATTGTCTCCATAGTAAAAAGTTATTGGGGGAAAATAACAGATTCTTCACTAGATGGTGAATCAGAAAACAAATCAAATATAATCTACTATCTGTCTTAACTCTGCTATTAAACTCCAGTGAGGCCGTGATGTTTTAGGTCAGTCCGATCAGCTGCAGCATCCAATCAATAACCAGTGGGGGCCTTAAGAATTTAGGGGCCTGTTTCAAGAGCTAATGTGGGGCCCTATCCCCCCCCCCAAAAAAAATTGTGAGAATTTAAGTAGGTTTGCCTTAATATTGGTATTTATTTAGACTTCAACTTAAATGCATTATTTTCACTTTCAGAATCATTGACAGATCAACATATAATAACCCAAACAATTCCCTTAAAAAAATTAAACAATCATTAATTAAATAATAATTAAAAACATTTTTGCTTAACAAAGTAATCTTTTTGTAGTTGCATTTTTACTTCTGTGATCTTCCAAGGGGCATTGGGGAGTTTTCAGCAGCCACTAGCGGTGCGGTTCTAAAATTGCAACCAGGCGTGTTCTCGTACGCGTGCTCGCTTGAACTTGTGATAATCCGAAACACAACCGCTTTCATACGGAAATCCGGCAATAAACACGGAAACACCGGCATGCAGGCTGTGGCTTTTCTCCACACATGTTCAGGCTCTGTTACTTTCCCCACTCAGAGGCAGATCAACACCGGCTCCGTACTTTTCATTCAGCGCAGCGAGCCGCATATTGGCTCAGTACTGCCAGAAAAATAGTGACAGCGGCTATAGAGAGACAGGGAGACAGCTTCACACAACATGCTGGAAACTCAGGTAAACTCCTACTGCAACGTTACAGTAATATTTTTATCAGCTTGAGCAGGGACGTGCACAGGGGGGTTGCTCTGGTTGCCCGGGCAACTGCCCGTTTGCCTTTCCTGACTCAAGTTGCCCTTCCGAGAAAAAAAAATAAAATAACAAAAATAATCGCGATCGCAAAGCCTCATTCACTTCCATTCGGGCACCGAAAGTGAAAGTCAGTAGGGGAAGAGCAAACTCTGTTTAAGTGGCTGCACTGCTGCAGCGCTGCCTGCACGTCAGTCGATTCTGTTCCCTACCGGAATTCCTGTTTCCTTCCTTTATGCAATCATACTACAACAAATCATGCGTAGTTTTGCCCAGTTACCATACGTGATACGTACCAACAGAAGTGAATACGAGCTAGAAGCGCAACTGAATGTACGGGAAGCCAAAAGGTTAAAAAGGATTGTATTTTTTTCCGAAATCTAAGCGTTTTTTTATTTAATATTTTATTAGAAGCGAGTTTTCCCCATCTGTCAATTCAATCTAGATTATTTATTTTCAAATAAAAAAAAAAAGGAAAAAAAATAAAAAATAATAATGTTTAAAAAAAACGATAAACAATAATATAAGGAACTCTTTTTCATGACTCGAGTCATGTTTTCTGTTTTGTTATTAATAGTAGTTTAGGTTATTGAGTGCTGTATTTAAGTGTTTTTACTTTTTGTATATTTTTTAATAAAAAATGTTTTTTTCTCAGTCCTTCATATAGCCCATGTTTTTTTGTTTGTTTTTTTTTTGGGGGGGGGGGGGGTGCCTTTTTTCAGGTCAGAGCAACTGCCCTTCAAAATTCCTGTGCACGTCCCTGAGCTTGAGGTTGAACTGGATACATAACTTTACAATTACAGCATTTAGCCGACGTGCTACTTCGGCGTTAGCTCGCCTGTCTGCTTTTCAGTAACTAACTTTACTATCTGTATATCTTTCACCGGAGGCTCAGCAATGGGAGCACGGCCAAATGTACTGGATGATAACGAAACGGTTAGTGAGCTAGAATGATTATTATAATGAGATCGTTGTCACAGTTTATAACAGTTAGACCGCAGTAAGTAACTTCACTGTGTCGGTGGATGGGTCTTCCTCTGTTTTGTTGCAGTGGCAGTGTATTATGTAGGTCATATCAGTTACAGCGACTGAGACGGTGGAGAAGCAGTGTATGTATTCACTTTTTAACAAAATAAAAAACAAAGCAGTCTCCCCCGACTTTTTACCTAATAGCATATTCATAACAGAACATCGACTAACACCAGTCTCTCCTGCCGAGTGGATGCATCACTGCAGTGTCTTTCTACAAGTTTCACGTTGCTGTGCTGCTTTAGAAGATACTTCAATACATTAGATTGTCCGCGGTTGAAAGCTTTTTGCTGGTTGCACAAAGTTTACAGCTGATGACAATGTTCTTTGTTAAACTGTGACACAATAATGGCACTATAGGCCTACTTCCAGCTGTAGAAAGAACGCCTCTCTCTCTCGTTCCCCATTCTTCCTTTATCTTTTTAAAGGTGACTTGAACAACATAAGGTCCGGCTTCTTGACTTGAACTGCAGCTGACCTGCCTCGCAGTTGCATTCACGTCAAGGATGGTGCATTCTGGTGACGCAGCGTTACTTGGATTACTAACAACACCGTCGCTGTAACACGTTACTGCCCAACACTGTCTGTCACACCGCCAATGTCCATAACTGATATCCAATACGGAGACATCAGCAGGTAAAATACTTCAGTAAAGGCTGGCTCTCATGTATCCCCGCTTGTGGCTCCTGGCTCCTCAGAGATTCCTCCTCACTCCTCAGAGCACAAATAATGATGAAGTAATAAAATAATGAAAATTTCTGAAGTACCACACTAATTTTCCTCCAGGCCTGCTGTTTTCTTATCAAGTCATGGAAACAACTGATGGTTAAATCATACAGCTCCAGGTATCCAGCAAAAGCCACCACTAGTTTGTCCTCATCTATTGTGATCTGATTGGACAATGGGAAGAACACCAATGATGTAGAAGTAATAGAAAATCATAAAAAGGGTATTTGTATTGTTTGATGTGCAACAGAACGTAGAGAGATTCCAATAAAAGTGTCCCTTCAGTGGCAATAAAAGTATATCTTATCTTTCTTATCTATCAAAATGCAATGCAGCTTTTAGGCTCAGTGGCAATAGTTTTTTTCAATTTAGTGCTCACACTTTCATACCAACTGCTCTCATCTATATTCATCTTTGTGTAGTTGTATGGTTTTAATGTACTTGATGCGACTGGGATCCCAGACACAATCCTCCTCCAAACCACTCTTCACCATTCCACAGTCAGGTGGCACCCAGGCGCTGTCATAGCCGTTGCAGTACCAGGTATACTGAAGTGGATGGCCTTGATAATCGATCTTTTTCACTCTCCCCACGTTGACCTCAACCATAATGACGACCTTGTCATACTCAGGGTGATTATGGGGATAGCGGCTAGCTTTCTCCTGGTCTCGGCTGAAGTAGACGCCGCGGCAGAGCATCCCGCCTGCAGACTGACGAAAACCTTCGTACTTGATGGCTTTAGCAGCCTCCCTGGTGGTCCCATGGTACATGATGTATTTTTGACCTCTGTACCCCTGGTTCAAGTTGATGCCAATATCACTGTAAGAAAAAGGAGCAATATATAAATAACTGAGCAACATACTACAATGTTTAAGGTCCATGTAAAGTTCTGGATGTTTAGCCTAGCTTAGCACAAAGACCGGGAGAGGCAGAGGAAACCTGTCTGCGTAGCTCCGTCAAAAGTGAAAAAAAAGTCACATAGCGAGGTTCAACTTTTTTACCGGGCCACCAACACAAAATGCTTTTCCTCTAGTGTCACCATAAGTTTGTCCTTGATGATCCCCTGAAAATTGTTCTAGTGCCACGATCGGCTCCAAATGTTCACTGATCTGGTGAAATGGAAATGCTTTACGACCACTCAAAGTGCTTTTTACACTACATCTGCATTCACCATTCACACACATTCATCCACTGAGCCTAAGTGCTCAAACAGAAACTAACACTCAGACACATTCATACACTGGCTGAACAGCCACCAGGGGCAATTCGGGGTTCCGTATCTTGCCCAAGGACACTTCGACATGCAGCCCGGAGGAGCCGGGGATTTGACCGCCAATCTTTCGATCAACAGGCAACCCGGTTTACCTCCTGAGCCACAGCGCCGTCAAAAGTCTCAACAACTACTTATATGGATTTCCATTACAATTGATACACATATTTTTGCCTCCCTAGGGATGAATTTCAATAACTTTGTTGATCCTCTGACTTTCAGCACCATTATCAGGTCAAAAATGTAACTTGGCCAACACTTTGGTTTCTGACTAAATACCCTCAAAATGAATGACATTCACATCAGCATGTACTTTATCTTCAGTGCTAACTAGTGAATGTTAGTATGCTAACATGCTAAACAAGGATAGTACAGGGTGGGACCCTAATGGTTAACAGTAGGGCTTATACAGTACCTGCTATGTAATGTTTTAATGTACTTGATGCGATCGGGATCCCAGACACAATCTTCCTCTGAACCGTTCGCCACCATTCCACACCCGGGTGGCACCCAGGCGGTGTCGTAGCCATAGTCACGCCAGGTATACTGAAGTGGATGGCCTTCGTAATCAATCCTTTTCACTTTCCCCACTTTGACCTCAACCATAATGACGACCCTGTCAGACTCAGGGTGACCAATGGGATAGCGGCTAGCGTTCTCCTGGTCTCGGCTGAGGTAGACGCCGCGGCCGAGCATCCCGTCTGCAGACCGATTAAAACCTTTGGACTTGATGGCTTTAGCGGCCTCCCTGGTGGTCCCATGGTACATTATATATTTTTGACCTCTGTACTGCCGGCTCATGTTGGTGTCAGTATCACTGTAGGAAAGAGGATTGTAAGTGTAAAGATTTCAGAAGGACTCCGTGTGAAGAAACTAAACATCACTGCAAATAAAACAAATCACAAAGGAGACCAGAAAATTAAGAAACTATGCAACAACAGTACAGTATTTAACGTCCATTCAAAGTTCTGGATGTTTAGCCTATTAGCACAAAGACTGGACAATAGCCAGTATTCAATCACGGGAAATGTAAAGGGCTGCAGTGGCTCACTTCAAAGAAGCTCCGTCACAGAGCCGTAGCGCAAGCATGACTTTGACAGGCGGAAGGAAAAGTAGTTCCTATCAACCGAGTAGCAGCTGAATGAAAGCTGTTTGCACAGGCTTTTCAAGGACCTGCCCTTCTCTGTTTCTGATTGGCTAGTAGTCCTTAACTAGGAACTGCCCATGTGCAACTCCCAACAAAGATCATTTAGAGACAAGATGTATCACTCCATAGCTAAAACGAAGCCTTCAACACAGGGTGAAAAGAGGAGCTGCAGCAATGTGCAGTATGACAAAAAATATGGTGTTTTTTGAAAATAAACCACATAAACCTGTTCTGGTACAACCCCTAAATCAGATTTTGAACCTGAAAATGAGCATAATACCACCTCTTTAAGTGTTAACTAGTGAATGATAGCATGCTAACATGCTAAATTACTGAAGTATAGGGTGGGTCCCTAATGGTTAACATTAAGGCTTATATCTGCTAAACATCAGTATATTAACATTGTTCATTGTGAGCATGTTAGCATACCAATGTTAGCATTTACCCCAAAGCACAGGGGTGTCTAAGTACAGCCTCATAGAGCTGCTTGCTGTAGGCTCTTCTTAATCTAAGATAAAATTTATTTATACCGCCCATAATCACAAATCATTTGCCTCAGGGGGCTTTACAGACACTCTCTATTCTTAGAACCTCGATTCAGAGAAGAAAACACTCCTAAAAAACTCCTTTAACGGGTAAATTAAATGAAACCGACCATGTTTTTACTATAAAACTATTAAAATAAATAAAAAATAAAACAAAAAAATTGTGTTTTTCTGCTGTGCATATATTTACAGAAGGTTGTGTTAAATGGATTGCTTCACAGTTTTCCAACAGTTACAGTTACAGTTTGCTCTCTGTCACTTTCTGACTCCCCAGATCTGCCATCCTCTAGCTCTCTAACAGATGCCCTCTGACTTTCGTCATGGTCCTGGTTGGTCACTGGCTTGTTGGCTTTCTATGATCTAGACTTATATCCACCTGTCTACCTGTTGCCTGTTTGTTGCCAGCCAGCCAAATTACCTGCCTGCCTGTATCTGCGTGTATGGCAGAGGCTCATTAGTGTCATCTGCCATCAGACTCCAAAATCTCCTATTTCTGCCGATAAGACTCTATTTTGATGTGTACATGATATGTATTTTTATATATTTGATCCTGATTCTACTTGTTGTGTTGATTATGGATTCTAACTAATTGAATTTTATTATTTTTCTAACTTAGCTCTACATTCTCCCACTGCTGTCAATTTAAATAAAGGAACATCTTATTTTACGGAAGCTCAAATGATTGAACTGTACATTATCTCCCTATTCTGTCTGGGTTTGGGTCCAGCCCCTTTACCCTATTAAATTGTTTACTGCTCATAATTTATTTAAACATGTGCGGATAAATTTTTATAATAGCTTAGCTTCTGATAAAATAACAGTTTGGCTGCAGCTTCTTTCTGGGATCAAACACAGTTTCAAAGGGTGAAAAAAAACTATTACATTTAATCAGCTTTTATCTGTCAGGAAGCTCCTAGTGGAAACAGACTCAACATATTCCCCTGACGGTTTAAGCGCACACTTTTTATCAGACTAACTAAATTCATCTCTCTTTATACTGATAATATTTTATGTAAAAACACAGACTGTGTGTGTTCACCTACCTCTTTCCAGGTCCCACCAAGACTGCAGGCTGGGAGTTCACTTTCGTCTGTCTTTTACTTGACGGGGTGACGGGGAAAACCCTTCACTCCTCCCATATCTATTTTCATTATGCACCTGTTATCTTTTTCAGCACAAGCATGTTTCCTGTAAATGTGGCCACTTGGTAACTTTACAGTGTCCACCCCCATTTTAAATTTTTTAAAATTGTTTTGTATCTTTTTGGTTGTTTTTGTGTTACTGTAGAGAGTTTGCATCGTGCATCTCTTTGAGCCAGTGTGTGTCTCTTTGTGTTTGTCACAGCATGTCTAGTGAAATGAGTTCTCTTCATTTAACCCTTCATTTAAAAGCATTATTGGGCAGCGACTGTGCAGCCCAGATCCAGTTCCAATCCAGTGCCTTGGTCAAGGGCACTAACAGGAGAATTAAGCAAACATACTGTAGATGTTTGGACGGTAAACTTTAGCATGCTGTCTTGTTTTGCTTTCTCTTTTTAGCAAAAAGGGACTTTCTTAAACTCCCTTATTTGCCCAGAGGCTCACTTGGCAGATAAGCTGTATGACAGTGGAAAAAATTAATCAGGCATCAAGAGGAAACAGTTGTTGCGACTGATGTAATTATGGGAGTTATGGGACTTTCCTCTCCTCCCTCCTCATGTACATTGGTCAGCAAGGGTCTAAGAGTGTTGCAGACTACTCAATAGATTTCAAGGCCCCATTTTAGAAAGCAGGATAAATGTAAACTCTGAGGTTGTTAAGCCTGAGATGAGGGAAACTCTGGGTTATCTGTTTCACAGACTGAGATCAGATAAACCCCAGATGAGTAAGTCCAGCAACTTATGCTGTGATTCTAACCTGCATGGGAGGAGTTTTACTAATCCTCCCTTCCTGCAGAGCCTGAAGCACCTTTCTGCCACACAGTTTAATTTCCTCATTCGTACAGTTGATTTCAGAGCACATTCATTTGAAGACATTTTTGGAAACAGATATTAGTTCGTTACCCAAACATGATCTTTGACATGACTGCTTTTATGATCAATCTTCCATAAATGTAAGGACAGAGACATCAATTTCTACATGTCATGGACTCTTCCTCAGCTCAGAATAAAATATAAAGGTGCAAACTAATATGTACCACCATCATTTGTGTAAGTTACTGATGGATCGTTCCTATCATAGTTGTCATGTTGGAGATGATGTGAGTGAGGATGATGGTGCTGCAGCTGAAACGACTAAATTAAGCCTAGTTTAAAAGTGAGTTTTTAGTTACGATTTCATTTAATGCAAAATGAATAATATTTTTTAATGTTAGATAGACACCTAAAAATCTACAACCAGTTTGAACCCAGACACATTTTCAATGGCAAATCCCCTAAATATGCTATTGGGTTGGACTGTAACTTTGCATGTGTGACAACTGTCTTTTCTGTTTGATTCACATTTTCATCTTCAGTTACTGCCTCCAGAATTTTGTCCTTGTCAGGTTACAGCTGAATAAACATAGGCCTATTTAAAAAATCCCATGTAACATAGGCTAATGGTAGGCCTATATGATTCCAGTCCTTTATGGAAATGCAAGTCTGGTAAATGATGAATAATAAAAAGACAACACTCCTTCCTTCACTCCTCTACCTTACAACTTTACTTCAAGGATGATTGAACAGATTAGTAAAGTAAAACTAAAAACATGAAATGGTTAATCACACAGTTGAGCTTCCTTCAAGTGCTGTTTAAACTTTGGTGTCTGTGTCTCTTACAGTTAATCACAGCTTACTGAGTGCTAGTCAATAATGTGTGCTTTGATGTGGGAGAACTGAGAATAGATACTGGTTTCATTTTCCACCTGCAGCTGTCTGCAAAGTCCATGGCTGGACTGGTAATCTGCCATACCGTTTGCTACGTTTGCCATCAGCTGCAGTACCCTGCGTAGTGCAGGCACAGGCACCTGAAGGAGCAAAAGAGCTATGGTGGCCTAAATAATAAAGCTACTGATTACTGTATTATATTATATTATATTTTTATATTGTGAAGACATTCCCACCATAAATTGGTGCAGGAAATGTCTACAGAATGCAGGAAATTAAATTTAATGCTAAAAATCTTCTGTGGGAGGACCCCCGCCCCGCAGAATATTCAAGTAACACCTTTTTGGATGGCTTCACAATAAGCAGATTAAATATAAACAGATAAATTGTTATGATTGGATAGGAAATCCACCAAAGGCTCAGTCTTTGCAAGTAATGACGGGTCACGGCTCACCCCTTTGTGCCAAAACTCTTAGTCAGTTCAAAGGGAACATGTCTCAAAGCAAGATTGAGGAGAATTCAGGGGCCTGTATCCCGAAGCAGGTTTTGAGCTTATTGCAGTTACATATTCACACAGTCGCAGCTGTAAGAATAAATGGGTTTAATTTTGTTACATGAGGCTGAATATTATGAGCATATAGTTTGGTAGGCCTATTGAAATTAAGTTTGATATGAATGTGTTTATTTTAGGTTAGTAGCGATCTTACATTATAGGTCATTATTGGTACCATTATTTGAGCACATTTTATGGCGTGAATGGATTTTAGGAAAATGTCTGGAACACTTTTAAGTGTGTTAATTAACTTAATTAAAAGAGAATTTTTTAAAAGTGAGTTGGAACAACTACTTATTCATGCTGGAGGCTTTCAATGTGGAAACGCAGACACACAGCCGAGCTGAAGAATAACGCTAAATAAGGCGTGTGGGAAAACTGTTACCTTATTCTTTCAGCGTGTCTACGTTTCCATATTAAAAGCCTCCGGCACTGAATAAGTGGTTATTCCAACTCAAACCACACATTCCTATTATAGGCTCTGCCTGTTAGCTTAGATATCTTCTTCCTGCATGTGTTATCTTCTTCCTGCATGTGTCAGCTATAATATAAGCTGCTGCTAATATTACAGTTCACGCATTCTTTGTAAAATATGCCACTCTGCTGCCAGTAAAGTTGTGATTGGTCATCTGCTGCCTTTTATGTTAACGCAATCATGACTGGGTTGACTTACTGAGTTGATAACCAACTTCGTGTGACAGCTCATCCCGATCATGATTGTTAGGTTTAGTGAAGCCAGATCACAAAGAGAGATCCTGGATATGTTGAACTTGCTTCGTGGCGCCGGCAGCAGGTCTTTCAAAATCAACAGTACGTAATATTGTGAAAAGTTTAATTTGATGACATCTCTGTGCGTAAAGGGCAATATCAGTATGTCTTTTTATCAAAACATATAAAAAAAAAAACATTTGAACATACAAAATAAAATGGATAAAAGCGCTTGGAGCTCACATGTAGCCCTGTGCACTGTATCCATAGGAAGCTCGGACTGGACGTGGTTTGATGGTATTAATAATCTCGATTTGCTCTGGATCCCAGACACAGTTCTCCTCCAAACCGCTGTTCACCATTCCACACTCGGGTGGCACCCAGGCGGTGTCGAACACTGGGCCATATCTGGAGTCATGCCAAGTCTTCTGACGTGGATGGTTTTGATAATTAATAGTGATCACTTTTCCCACATTGACCACAACCTTAATGACGACCTTGTCATACTCAGGGTGACCAATGGGATAGCGGCGAGCTTTCTGCAGGTCTCTGCTGAGGTAGACGCCGCGGCCGAGCATCCCGTTTGCAGACTGCTTAAATCCTGTGGCCTGGATGGCCTGAGCGTTCTGCCTGGTGGTGCCGTGGTACATGATGTACTTTTTATCACTAACTGGCTCAGGGAGGTCCAGTCGATTTACCCCATAGGGCAAATCAAAGTCATCTTGAGGCCAGTGGTACTGCATGCTGGACGCACTGTAGGAGAGAGAAGTTTATTACTGTAGTTTCCATGTGAAGAAACTAAACATTACTGCAAATAAAACAATTCAGAGGAAAAATTGATACAACTACATGTAAAAATATCTAAGGTCCATTTTCCGTTCTGGATGTGTTCAGCCTAGCTTAGCACGCACTGTGTCCAACGCTTGCTTAGCGTTGTTTGTGAAACCAGCATAAGCCTGCCACCAGCCGAGTTTTTTCCTGTTTAATTTTGTGTGTCCTTCCTAGTGTGTGCTGTCAGCTTTGTTTCCTGTCTTTGTGTTCTCTAGTTGATTCTTCACACTTGCCCACTTGTATTCAATTATCCTGCCATTCTTTTGTTTTATAGTCTGCATGGTTCTGTTTGTCCTTGTCAGTTTGTTACCAGTTACCTGTAGTTTTGTTTTTTTGATCAAATAAACACTGTACATTTTATCTGCTCCATTCGAATGTCTGCATCTTGGGTCCAAATCCTAGTTTTCCTATGTCTGCCAGTATTGTCAGACATAACACTATCTGCATGCTACCGCTTTCACCGTCTCTGAAACTGTGATTGGTTTAAAGAAATACAAACAAGCCAGATCCCCCATTCAACCAGAATGATAATGGTTTCAGGTTCAAAAGGGTGATTGTTTACATCTGGAAAAAAAATAGGATCAATCTGCTTTTATCAGTCAGGAAGCTCACAGTTGAGTCAGACACCTAAACTTTCCATCAGACTAAGGCCTGTTCAGACTGCAGGCCTTAATGCTCATTTTAAATTGTTTCCGCATTTATCAGATCTGTATCGGATTTGGACCACATATGGACGTGGCCCAATTTCGAACTGGAAAAGATCAGATTCCACGTGACTTCACCTGTTCACACTGTCATAAAGATCTGAGTCACATATGGGCAAAAGAATCGGATTTGGGTCACATTGGCCTGCAGTCTGAACGTAGCCTAACTAACTCCATCTCCTCATTGATAGTATTGATGATATTATCTGTAAAAATACACACATAGCATGTGCGTAGCCCCATGCATCATATACATAGGAGGCTTGGACTAGTTGTGGTCCGATGATCCTTATGATCTTGATTCGATGGGGATCCCAGACACAATCCTCCTCCAAACCGCTCTCCACCATTCCACACTTGGGTGGCACCCAGGCGGTGTCGTACGCCGGGCCGTATGTAGAGTCATGCCAGGTCTTCTGACGTGGATGGTCTTGATAATTAATAGTGATCACTTTCCCCACGTTGACCACGACCTTAATGACGACCTTGTCAAACTCAGGGTGATTAAGGGGAAAGCGGCGAGCTTTCTGCAGGTCTCTGCTGAGGTAGACGCCGCGGCCGAGCAACCCGCCTGAAGACTGTCGAAAACCTGTGGCCTGGATAAGGTAAGCATTCTGCCTCGTGGTTCCATGGTACATGATGTACTTTTTATCATTTACTGGCTCAGGGAGGCCCACTTGACGTACCCCAGACACCAACTTAAAGTCATCTTCAACCCACTGGTACTGCATGCTGGTTGCACTGTACGAGAGAGAAGTTTGTTAGTGGAAGGTTTCCTTGCAAATAAACTAAACATCACTGCAAATAAAACAACACCAGAACTAGAAATTAATAAATGATACAACTACATAAACAACATTAAGTCTTTTATAGTCGAACATTAAGTTCTGGATATGTTTAGCTAAGCCTAGAATGCAGTCTGTCAGCCTACCTTTATCGAAAGTGAGTGTGAGTCTCCAGTCACGCTTGTGGCTCTGCCGTTGCTTTACCTAGTAAAAATGATCAGAAACAGGCTGTGTTTATAGGGGCATGTTTGAATACTATATCCAAGAGTTTGAAGGCTCGTCAGATGCAAAAATATTGCACAGAGGTTTTTTACAACATATAACACATCAACTATTCCACCAGCATATCATTCCATCCATTCTCATCCCAGGGCGTCAAATACCGGCACTTTCAGAAAGCCTGTCGGTATTTGATTCACCCTTCAGCGTCTGCATGAGACGCCCTGGGCTTTCAATGAACTCCAGTGTAACCCATCCGCCTTCTAAAACCAAAAGTCAAAGTTGTGTTGTAAGTTACAAAACAATACATACATGACTTATGTCACATAATGAACTTATTTCAACCCAAACCAAATATCACCATCTAGCCTACAAGTCCGCCATAGGGGGTTGTTGTTTTATGTGTGTAAACTCAGCCGCCATCCACAGAAAGTGGTTCATCAGCCAGTAAACCGCGGACATATTTTGACAATGTTGCTTTTTGCAGATGATATACAAATCTATTTGCCTGTAAAATCCAATGAAAGCCTCAATACAGTCCTTGTTTCACTGCCTGAGAGATCTTAAGATATGGCTGGATCAGAACTTTCTCTGTCTTCATGAAATTGGACTCACCCTGCAGCATCCACTGTACCTGTAAATTATATATATCATTGTTTAAATACACAATGGGTTTTGTTTGTTCTTTTAACATTAAGATATCATCACTGTCAAACACAAATTAATGTGTATACCGTCATATCTACCTACCGCATGGATATAAAGCAACATGTTAATCAGGTTTTTTTTCAGCACCCATTGCATTCTGGACCATTACACTGTTGTCTACTGTCTCAGAGTCAGATTCCTTGTATGTGTACACATACCTGGCCAATTAAGCTGATTATGATACATATACAGAGAGACATATGCATATAAAGTGTTAGTTCACTCACCTCTCCAGGTTCTTCCAAGACTGCAGGCTGCGAGTCACGCTTGATCAGGACCTTCAGGCTTTGGGAGGATATTCACTTCCTGCACCGTACTTTCGTTTAAAGTCAGAGGATGTATTTGTTTAGGTGTGGGAGGGATTTTGGGTTTCTGCCATCCAGCAGGACAGTGATCAATGAGTTCAGGCTCTTATGCAGATGTGAGCATTGCACTTGTAGGACTTTCCTTCCTTATTAGAGCACAAATTCATGTTTTTACTGTTGGGTGCCCGCAAGAAAGATGTTAAAATGATAATTTAGCACTCATCTGACGCAGCTAGCAGCAGTGGCAGATGAGCTGCATAACAGTGAAGACTATTAAAACACCGAAGAAGAAGAAACAGGTTTGGCAACTTGGAACTCTTCAGAGCTTCATTCCAACCATTTGTACTCAGGTTTCAATGGTGCCTGTGCAACTCTTTTCATTTTAATAAAGCAGCTTGTTATTTCCTGTAAATGTCGTCATTGTGACTCTACGGCTCATGCTAACTCGCCAAATTGATTGTAGAGATTTGAAAAACGAGAACATACAATTGTTTTTTATTTCATTATAGTAGTTTTTATTTCTCTCTAGAAATTGTGCATTTCTTTGTGTTCATTCTCACATACACAATCGTGCACATTTAGTGCAGGGTCTTTCAAAGTCTGAAACTGTGGACCTTCCCTGAGACAAAGCTTGGAAAAAGTCACCCCTCCATCCCGCTTTGGTTCACTTGCTTAGTTTCACTCAGTTTTTTAAGGGATCATGATTATGTTATTTGGTTCTGTAAAGACTCAACAATTGAGTTTGACATAACTTCAGAACACATAAAAATATCTGTCCTGACACATTTATTAGTTTCTGACTCTGGGAAAGTGGGAAAAACAGAAAACAGAAATTCCCCAAAACTACTGTATCTCTGTACTCTCTTTAACCAAGTCACACACTTAGGAGATTCTATGCGATCTCTTTCTGATAACTAATGTAATCATTATCACTGACCCTTCCTGAAACTGTGTGGAGCCCCCCTGGGGAAGATTTGAACTTCTCCAGGTACTGAAGGCAGAGACTGTCATGTTCTGGCACGTCTATCAGAGTCCCGGTGCATGCTGCCCCTGTCGCCCCAGTCTATATGGGGCTGGAACTAATCAGAGGTAATGGGAAGCCAGTGGGTGATTGGGTGAAGTTGGCCAGGTGAGAGGAAGGTGTAATAGGCGGGTAGTAGACTGAATGAATGAATACTGAGATGCATTGAGGTACAGGTGCATTTAAAAAAATCAGAATATAGTGAAACAGTTCATTTTTAAAAAAGAAACTTTCATATATTCTAGATTTATTACGCATAAAGTGAAATACATTTTTTTGTTTGTTTTAATCTTGATGATTACGACTTACAGCTCATGGAAATCAGAAATCCATATCTCAAAATATTAGAATATTAAACTAAAGAATGTAATACAGGAATGTTGAAATTAGAGGAGCCCTTAATCTCCTTTAGTCTGGTTCAGCACACACAAGCACAATCACAGGACAAGACACTCATTGACCCCCCCCCTCCACAAGGAGGGTAATCCACAGAAGGTTGTTGCTGAAAGGGCTGGCTGTTCACAGAGTGCTGAATCAAAGCATGTTCATGGAAAGTCGACTGGAAGGTTAAAGTGTGGTAGGAAAAGGTGCACAAACAGGGATGACCGCTGCCTTGAGGGGATTGTCAAGCAAAGCTGATTCAAGAGTTCGGGGGAGCTTCACAAGGAGAGGACTAAGGCTGGAGCCACCAGGAACCGAGTTGCAAGAGTCACATTCCTAGGGTACTCCTCAAGTCTCTTATTTATCGTTTCCTCGCTTGAACCGGAAGTTGTTCGGCTCCGCCATCTTGCAGACCGTCCCAAAGCTCTTATTCGTGCTCTGAGGATTGAAGAGCGATCTCTGAGGAGCCATGAGTGAAGATACACCAGTGCATCCTTCATGGAAGTCTTTTACTGACCAACATGCCCCTTAATGGGTTGCTGTTATATTGATTGGACGCTGCAGCTGATCGGACTGATCTGATGCATCACAGCAGATAACATTAACTTAACTTAAGTTTATCACTCTAAAGTCTTACATGTGAGTTGTTTTATGATTCACTGTCTAGTTAAAATCCGAGTTCATTGTAGGTCTGAACAACAAAAGCCCCACACACAACTTTCTTAATTTGTTAGAGAGATTTTTCTTTCTTTTATTTCTCCCATCAACTTTTATTATGGAGACAAAGTCAAGGAGAGTCTGTCTGCAAGAAACACGTTTTACATCATTTATTGTTGTTTCTATTCATCACATGTGAGGCTGGTCATTGCTGTGTTTAATCCAATAGATGACAATAAAAAAACACGTAGCATAAGGAGTGGGACAAGTCACTAAACTGCACTAAAGTCTCTAATGAAGCAAGCAAAGGATAATAAAGCCTGCAAATCCAGCAGATTATCACCTTCTGTATCTGATAAAAGCAGCCGGCAGCTCCGCGAGTAGCTGCTGCGCTAAAAATAATAATTGTTGGATTGAAAGGATTGAACGCAGTGATCAATCAGTGACGAGTGATGTGACTTGCAAATAAAATGTATGCAGTAGTGTTTAAGGATATCAGAAGAGGAAATAAACTGAAAGCCTAAAACTGAGCTACAGACTTTTTATATGAGTTAGATCATTTCAATTAGCATAATGAATCAAAGACACCATGATCATATTCTGGGTTATTCAACAACAAATTCACAATCAGAATCGATAAATATAAATGCAGATAATATCAGCATTGTGCCATTGCTCATACAGTAACTCCAACACTAGAGGCTCTATCTCTAAAATCAAACAGTGACCTCTTATTCTATGTTCAAATTCAAATTCAAATTCCTCTGAATCTGTATTGTGATTTGGAAAAGCAGCGTGTTGATTATATTACTAAGTCAGCTGACATATCTTTTGGCTTCATCTGTGTGGAGCTATTTTCAGTGTTCATTTAACAGTATTCCAAAGGAGGTGTGGTGAAAGTGTGTGAAATGCAGCCAATGGGCCCATGATGCTTGCACCTCAGTCCATGCAATTTATGTGTGCCAGAACTGAATACACGTCTGATTAGTCAGATACAGATGTACGTCGTACAAAAATGTGAGTGTGTTTAAACACCACATCTGTTTTATTAAGAAGCAGGGCTTGATTGGTAATCTGGCATACCGGGAAAATGCCAGGTGGGGCCGGGGTAACGTAAATTATGTATTTATATAACTAAACTAAACTAACTTATATAACTAAAAATGGGCCACCAATCGATCCATAAAGCATGGACAACAGTCCATTGGGTAATTTTCTATACTGACAATGGCCTGGCCCAATCACATCTCTTAATAGCCCCTTTATTTTTCAAATTCTCTAGGCTTGATTGTTTTCATTTTTAATTTGATTTGATTTTGAAATTTAAATCAATATTCACAATTAAGTGTTCTAATTTTTCTTGTTTGATAATCCAGTGTGACAACTTACCTGCCGATGGGTCAAATTGTGCACACTCTATTCAACAGTCTACACCTCCATAATGACATGAGATACGAAGATGTAATGAATACAAAATATGTGCCCAAGACTTCCTTCTTTCATTTGGTATGACATTTGTACCATTGTGATGTACGGTGACCAGTATATATTAGACCGTGTAGAAAGTGTGACAACATACCCTGCTCTCCCCTAATTATTCATATGCAGGTGTTCGTTAAACAGATAACAGCTACAGAGAGAATCGTGCTGCTCTGCACTGATAACTGAGACTTTATTAGTACCAACACAGCGCGCATGTGTGCAGACACTCAGTCTCAGCTGTTAGAGCCGACTGACAGCTGATCCAGCTGTAATCAGCTGCCGCCCTCATCAAAACCGGATGTCGCTTCACGTGACGCTTCGGAGGAAAGTACGTCTCATATCTCTAATGTCCAGTGGGAAGTCCACGCTATTCCTACAAAACAGGAAATGCTGAGGCCGGCCCCTCCCCAAACACTTGTCCTGCATGGTGGAACTGAACAAAGCAACAAACAATTTTAAGTATTAACACAGAAAAACAATTAAACCAACTGAAATTAACTTATGACTGTGTGTTTAGTGTGAGAAAACAGGCCACACGCCTCATTTCTTTATGAGGCTATAGCCTGTTGACAAATAGGCAGTAAAAAAGGGATTTATTGATTGAGTGATTTCATTGAAAAACTACATACAAACCCTTTAGCTCTAATACTAAATGTAATTATTTGAATGGCAAATGGCTGCATTTATATAGCTCTTTTTTCTTTAACGCTTTATAGATTTTGCAAGGTCAAGAAGATATCAGCTGCACCTCCTGAGCTGCATTCCACCGCTGTGTTAAAATCCACATGTTGTGGTTTTTCGGCAGTTCCAAGGGAAAGTTATCTCTGTTACCATGACATGTTAAACTGTTACTTAGACACAATAAATAGTTTGGATGATTTCTTTGGTAGAAAATGGTTGCAGTGAAGACTGTTCAAAAGTGAGTCCTGTGAATCCAGAGTTAAGGTGGTGGCGAGTGGCTTTTGAGTTTCAGAGGCAGATAGAAAAATAGAAAAATACACTCATCTTACTTTCAACACATCAGAAAGCAGCTCAGGTTTAACATGACCCATTTATTTTCCAAGTTACAATGACACAGTAACAAAATGTCATTTACTTTTTATCCAAATTAAAAAAATTGAACATTTTTGAAACATGATTTGAACATTCAAAATAAATTGTTAACAGCTCGTAGAGCTCACATGTAGCCTCGGGCACCCCATCCAAAGGAGGATTGGACTGGGCGTGGTTTGATGGTATTAATGATCTGGATTCTTTGGGGATCCCAGACACAATCCTCCTCCAAACCGCTCCTCACCATCCCACACCCGGGTGGCACCCAGGCGGTGTCATAGCCGTGGTCATGCCAGGTCTTCTGAAGTGGGTGGCCTTGACGATTGATGGCGATCACCTTCCCCACGTTGACCGCTACCTTAATAACCACCCTGTCAGACTCAGGGTGATCAATGGGATAGCGGCTAGCTTTCTCCAGGTCTCTGCTGAGGTAGACGCCGCGGCCGAGCAT